ACAACCTCAGAGGTGCAGATTTCCACATTCCTAGATTTAATACTGTTACTTATGGAAAACATTCCCTAAGATATATTGGCCCTTTGCTGTGGAATCGACTTTCAACTAACATAAAAACCTCACCTTCTCTACAATCTTTTAAAAAACAGATTTGTTTAACTAACCTTTCGTCTGAATTAGAATACGATTGTGAGAACTGTTTTATGTAGCACGTGAACAATTAGCTGGCTCAGGGAACGCCCTATGTGTTTATTTGATTTAATAATGAGTATTAAATAAGGCAGTTTAAACTTTTAGTTCTTAATGTTAATGACGTATTTAAATTTTATCAATTGTAAATAGTTAAATTAGTTCAATTTTAACTTACTGTATTGAGTTTAGGTGTCCCCTATTAGTAGAGGGTTTCTTACACTCGGCTAGATCGATTTGACACATAAATAATGTTTTTCATTCATTTATTCATTGCTTAAAGTAAGTTTTTATTTGTAATTTGTAGGAACCTAGACACATAACAAACACCACCCCTACCAGGAATAAATAAACTCTCCTCCCCTCCCTCAAATCTTAGTAGGATGTATACCCAACCATTGTAGCAGGCGAGGCTATCAGCTACCCGTGTTCAGGACGTTGCTACAAAGCGACAAACGCGTGATTGACCAATCTCACAACGTTTACAAGTGCGAGATCGAATGGAAGCTACCTCGTTGTGTAGAGTATTATCTATTCAAAGTCACGTAGTATCAGGCTATGTAGGGAACGATTCCGCCACATTTCCTCTTCAGGTTTGTAACTTATGTTTACAGAAATATGTATGGGGGTGCCCGCGGTTTAGAGACGCTAAAAGCCTATGCTCAGTTTATAACTGGACAAGCGAAACGTTTAAAACGTAGATCTTTAGTTAAAATTATGTATCGCTACCGTGGGTTTTGGTCATTTTCTCAGACATTTACGATGGGAATAATCTATACCTGTGGTAAAGGACAAATGATGAAATATGTTACCTTTCCACTTGTCCACACTTACCCTTCCCCTAGTAAACTCAAAACCTGATTAACTTGCTGGCTCAGTTTCTGAGACTCTGTAACTTGGATGACTCGAGGTCTGGCCTAATGGACTCAAGATTGTGGATCAAGATGTTCAGGTTTGAGCCCCAGCTGGCAGCCAGTCATTTTGCTTTGCTCCTTGGCAAACACTTCACTCTCAAATTACCTCCCCCCCCCCCCCCCAGGGATATTAATTGGTACCATGCAACAGAAACTGGGCTTAAAATGTTGTGGCTTTGTGATTGGTTTGCTAGGTTGTGAATTGAACTGTTGGAGCTCAAACTCAAGCTGGTTTTGTGTTGAAGGGTATGACACAACTAAGGATACTAGAAAGGTTTTAAGTAAACCTGAGGGAAGGCATGGGGGAAGGGAAAGGGGGCAGTAACTTGCAATAGACTGCCGTCCTAGCTTTTTGAGGTACCAGTCTTCCTGGTTGTCTCATGCCTTAGAAATTAGGATAAGTTACCCACTAGTAATAGATCAGTAAGCCTAAAAGACTCAACCTTCTAGTTTCTGTTTTTAGGTTCTTGGATTTGATGTTGATACAATCAATTCAGTTCAACTTTCTAACCACACAGGTTTGTGTGACAAACATTTTGATTCTTTTTCTCAATAGAGCTCTTACTTGTTGTGAACAAATATTTTTTTAGTGGGATACATATTGTGTTTTTTTGGGTGGGTAAATGCAGAGATGGAAAGAGGAAGATGTGTCTTTTCCTCCTAGCTTGCTGCCTATTAGTAATCTCTCTGCTCTCTTCTGTCTCTTTCAACTCCTAACCCTTTATACCTAAACATCAGTATGCATATTCTCCACACTGTTCTATATACATTTCTTAAGGTACTGACAAGGAGAATGAATTTAACAATCAAGAGCTTCTTTAGTTGGTAGCACCATCACACTATTTCTGTCAACTGTTGTCTTCCTTATTTTCAAAGGATACGACCATGTAAAAGGGCAAGTTCTGGTTGCTAATGAACTCAAAGTCTTATTTGATGGGCTCAAGCTAAACAAATTACATCATTTCTCTCACCTTCTGACAGGTATATCATCAGTAAATTAGGAAACTATTATCATAATGGTAGTTAATTGTATAGTCCTGATCACCCAGAAAAACTAAACTACATCATCAACTTTTACTCTTGGCTTCAAACTACTTGCTGCAGAATTACAGTCATACTGTACATTATGTAATTTTGAACATGATGACTTTTTAAGATGTCAAACTAGTTACAGAGTTACAGCTTACAGTTACTTAATAAATTTAACTGGGGCAATGCAACATCAGAGTTTGTAATTTTTTTTGACCAACCACAGCCAATGCTATACAAAATCCTTAGATGTAGTTACTGTAGTATAATTTTTGGCCATTTTATAAATTATACATATTTTCTTTCGTCATGCCAACACTCTGATGAGTGACTTACCATGGTGAGTTAGGCTGCGAGTGAGACCCTCAGATTGACCAGATCAATCAAGACTATTTTATTGCCTTAAGTGTTTTTATAATAATTTTAATCTGTTTTATCCAAGGTTATGTAGGTTCAAAATCATTTTTGGAGGAGGTACTTCAAGTTGTTCATGATCTACGACAAGCAAATCCTAACCTAGTGTTTGGTATGTTTATAAGCTTTGAGCTTTCTAATTGAGGAAAAGTTCCATGCACTAACATTCAGTTTTGAATCTGGAGTTAATTTGATTATGATGTAATATCACATTTTGACATTATTTCTTTTCTTTTTTAAAGTTTGTGATCCTGTCATGGGAGATGCAGGGAAATTTGTAAGTATGAGAGAAATGATTCTGTCTGATTATTTTATAAGAAGGATGACTGAAGAGAAAATGGCCTTTGCTCTAAGTTTTACCTTCATATTCTTTTAAACTTTGCAGATAGTTTAATCTTGATATGCTAATTCAATTTAGTTTAAAAAAAGTTGGGTTACTTATAAATGACTCATTTTTTAGTTAGGGCATATAAATCCAAAATGAAGGGCATTTCTTGGAGTTTGCTTCTAGTAATCTTATCTCCTAGGAAATTGATCCTAACTTGTTAAGAAATAAGTGGGGATTTCTTCATTCTATATCCAAGGAAACAATGAAAAAGTGTGGAAACTATTATTTATCATAGCACTGATGTTTGAAAATAAGAAAAACAATTTGAGCCTTTGTAAATATCATGAATTTATCTTCCTTTTGTATTGCAAAAATTTGTGCAAGATTCATTTTTATTTCTTATTTTCTTTTTTTGTAGTATGTTCCTGAAGAGTTGTTACCAGTCTACAGAGATCAGCTTCTTCCCTTAGCAGATATTATAACACCAAATCAGTTTGAAGCAGAGTGAGTACATTTGAAGACTTTCCTCTTTAAAAAAATAAGAGCATTCCTCTGAAAAGAATAAGAGCATTCTTGATCTTGGTTGCAGTGTAGTACCAATACAAAGTGCAAAATTTATTATGGGAGGGAAAACTGACCAGCCCTTTTGTGAAGTTCTTTTTACTTGAAATTGTGGATAACCTGCAATGAAATTTCTCTTGGGGGGACCACTAGCATTACAGTTTACATGTGATAAATATTTGGGGAGCATTAAGAACAGTATTTATTTAATAAATGTAGTGTAATTAATTTCCATGATTATATTTAACAGACTCCTGACTGGTATGAAGATAACCAATGAAAGCGAAGCCTTTAAGGTATAAGGGATCTTTAGTTTTTAAATACAAAACAGTTGTATTGGATTCAAACTGTGCTTTATGAAGATTTCTGCCTTCTGTTTTGTTTACAATACAATTGATTACAATTGAACATAGAACTATTCATTTAAAAAAGTGAAATGTCCAAATCAAATTTTTTTGGGTTTGATGCATGGGAGGGAAAACTGACCAGCTCTTTTGTGAAGTTCTTTTTACTTGAAATTTATAATAACAAGATTGTATATTCTAAGTTGTTTTAATTTGTTTACGTGTTTTTTGTTTTGTTCATCGTCAGGCAATGAAAATACTTCATGATAGAGGTACCGAGACTGTGGTAATTACGAGCTCAGAACTGGGAGATAGCAAAACACTAATAGCTCTTGGCAGCTCTGTCAATGGTGAGTGCTCATTGGTTCTTTTCTTAAAACTACAAGACAGTAAAGTTTTTCAAGCCTCAAACCCAGCCTCTTAGAGACCCAAAACATTTAAGAGACTTAACTTTTTCTTAGCTTTGAACTGCACAAGTGATGCAAGTTTGATGCACTTGTGAGATCTTGCTATGGAGACAGGTTGATTATAATATCATAATGGTAAAAAGATTTTCTGTGGCTTCTGCATATTGTTTTACTAATTATCACTACTTAACCATCAATTCATATCCCACGGGTCTACCATTCTTGTATCTAGACATCTTTTCAAGTGGAAAGCAAAGGCTATCAACATTTTATCTATACTAAATATAAGACCAAAACAGCTTATCATGGCTAGTAACTTCATGGTTTATTTTTCCCCCTTTCCTATTTGGAAGTCGGGGAATGGTAAAGACTTTGTATTCTGCATTCTGGGGTGTACAGCAATGTTTTTAATATACCATCAACTGTATAAGAGTGCAAGTACTACCTTCAATGATCATTCATGACTCATTTACCTATTTCTCTTGAAAAAGAAGTACTAAATTTTTGTTCTAATTTTTTCAAACAAGGCAACAAAAAGTGCATTAGGATGGAAATTCCCAAAGTAGATGCCATCTTCACTGGAACAGGAGATTTGTTTGCTAGTGTCCTTCTTGCATGGCTTTATAGACATCCAGATGATCTAGCACGTGCTTGTGAGGCAACTGTATCAACAGTTCAAGCTGTGCTGAAACGGACATTAGCTCATGCACAGCGTAAGTGAAATTTTCCAATTAATACAACTGAACATATCATATGGCATGAACATTTCAGATTTTAACTTTTGCAGAATTTTTGGATTGTCTCTAAATGGCCAAAGTGAGTTTCTGGAAAAAAAAATCCCTGCAAAATTGTACAACAGCAAAACTTAACAAGAGGGCCTAAGCTGAAATGATAGCCTTTGTAAATTACAGCAAAACATTCTCATATGATTGTTTTCCTCAGTGGCTATAGACTGTAAGCTACAGATCTCTAAATTCTACCAAGGCAAATGGTTGGGTTTTCATTGGGAAACCTTATTAGCAAATCATAATTCCCTTTTTTCAGTTGCTGTCAGTAGTTGAGTAGAGCAAAACCCTCTGTTATTTTAAAGGATATGGGTTAGTTTGAGAAGGTTCATGTGCTTTATATATTTCAACTTCACTTTAATCCTTTACAACCTAGCATCAGTAAGAATACTGTTCTGTATATATTTCCCGAGGTGTTGACAAGGAGAATTTGTTTTTAAAAATCAAGAGCTTCTTTATCTGGTGATCATTTCCTTTATTCCTCTAACCCTAATGTTTGCTGCAAGGAGAAATTAGTTGCTAGTCACTCTACAGGGTCAAAGGGTTAAAAATCAGTTTGGAAGAAAAAAAAATTGCTGACAAGAAAAAGTCATCTTGAAAACCCAGATACTGAATTACAGACATCTCTAACATTTTAACATGATCATAGTTTGTTTTATAATGAATTGCCTGAGAGAAAATAGATCATCAATAGCTTATAAAGACATGGATTTCACTGATTCGTCTAACTTAAATGTCTTTACTTTTGTTCCTATTTTTACTTTTTTTTATTATGTTACTATTTTTTCATAGGACTGGCTGGTGAAGGAAACAAACCTACAGCTGGACAAATTGAACTACGACTTGTTCAAAGTCTTGATGACATTAGAAATCCAAACATAACGTTTAAAGCTCAAATAGTTTCAGATTGACTTTTTTTTTTAAGTAGAAACTACTGAAAGATTAGTTTTCCCCAAAATAAACCATTTTAATAACTTGACCAAAGTAGAGCAAAATGTGCTTTAGAATTCAAGATATTTTACATACATAATATAGCGTTAGGGACAAATTCAAAACTTATTGCTCTTGGGAGATGGGGAGGAATGAAGAATCACAAACCAGTTTACTGATGTGAAATTTTTTTGTGTGGTATAAATGTTTTTAAAGGGGTGGCAGAGTGATGGAAACAACTCTTAATTATAAATGACATGCTGTATGAAAAAAAAACTATGTATGGTATTACTTAATTATCTTAATATATTTTTTTGGACTAGTCAGACTTGTGTACACAGAACATGCTTCCTTACCTGCCCCCTTGTCTGCCACTGACTAACATACAGCATTAACTTTCTCAATTCTTACTTTCATGAAAACCACTGTTTAACCTAAAGAGATGGACATAAATAAAAACCTATTATTATTAATTTTTCTTTTGTGTCTTCATTTCACATAAGTGCATGTGTCTCCCAAAGCCTTGTGACTTTAGCTAATTTAGGGTGGTCTGGTGTCGCTGGACAAATTGTTTTGGTGTAGTTTTCATATCCAGTATTATAAGTTTTCTGGGTTTTTCACGGTCCTTTATTCGGTGATTATGATCAGAATGTGGTCTACTTTAGTATTCGTTTAAACTGGATGTGAGAGAGAGGCAGAAATTGAGCTTACAAATATCAATTTTCTGATTGGCTTCGCTTCATTTTGTGATACAGTATCCACTATTTTCAAGCCCTGACTAGGCTTTTCTACATTATGCTAGCATTTTTTCGAGCATTTTAGTGAGGCAAAAGCAATGAGCATTATTTGAGCATTTTAGTGGCATTTTCTTGGAAAATTAATTTTTTGCGAGAAAATAAAATAGAAATTAACTTTTTCCAGTCCCGCTTTTAATTCACGAAACAACCTAATACAGCTGAGTGGAGCTGGAGACTGAGGACAAGTCAGCGGTTTTACCTTTCGAGACTCAAAACGCGGCCATGGTTGTTTTCTTCATAACCTGTGTAAGTTACATGGGTCACGAAGAAAACATAAACCTGTATACACTTGTACGGAAGTGTTAACTTTCAAATTAATTTAACCGTTTGTATAATGATCATTATCCGAGCATTTTAGTTACTTTTTTGGGGAGACAGAGCATTTTAGTGGGAAAAATGGAGCATTAAGGTGGAGCATTTTAGTGGGGAAACAAAAGCATAATGTACAAAAGCCTATCAGTGCGCCCAAAATTCTTTTTCACGTAACATCATGAGAATTACCATTAGAGCTATGTGCGAAAAACGTAATCACCTCACCGAACGAATCCTACATTGCCGCTCTGAACTTTCCAAAATCTGTACAGC